ATTCCTTAAAAAGGGTTTACACGGAGTTTATTTTGATATATTCGCTTTTCATTTCATTTTAATGTTTGTTTTATCATTTCAAAATGTACCTCGCAAGGTGACAATACGTGTGTGTATACCCTATTGCGTGCTCGTACTTCAATTAACAGATGCTTGAACACGAGATTCTAGAAGAGATCGAATATCCTATCCTGATATGCCAACAAATTCCGCGTCGAGAGGTGGCACTCGGCACGTTTTTACAAAGGTCATTTTTAGTTAACAGAAGCTCGAGCACAAGTTTTTGTTTTAAGTAAACTAATACGGTGTTTCTCGCAGAGGGCACATTCATGGCGTTTCTTACTGTCTTCGTCATCATTGCATGACAGTGCGCCCTCGTCGACGACGAACATTAAATAAGGTCTGCTCACGATTCTGCACTCCTTGCAAGTCTGGCCTGAATTTGGGAATGCATGCGCTGAGAGCCATATCTTTTTACGGGAACCCTCGCATACGAAGACTCCGAATCCTTTCCGCGAAGTAAAGCTTTTAGAATGCACCCATTCGCCTTTATTCTCCAAAAAAAAATGGTGTGTCATACAGATTTGTGACGATTGCTGCACACTAGACAGGAAAGCCGGCGCCATATTCTATTTGTGAGTTGGAAAGCTATAAGGTGTAATGAAAACTTGTTGGAGATGGCCGATCTATTTATTCATTTCCATTCCCATTAAATATTTGTTTGTACTAACTTAAGTTGGAATATATATCAAATTAAGTTAAGTCATTGGGAACGATATTTGATATTTTTGACGAGTTTTGTGCGTCGATTCGATCACACGGTGTAGTTCTAATTTTAAGGCGTGAATTCTACGAACTTGATTCCCAACAATGACGAGCTTGTCGCTGATAAGCTAAATGTCACTTGTTGTCTGAGCTAAATCGACATCTCCCAGAATTTTGCCCAACATTGACAAGCTTTTCATCCTGTGGTAGCCCATCGGCACCCGAGATTTCATTCTGTGACCGTACAATTCCCGATATTAAAAAAACTGGATTTTAGACAATAACGTGTACTGTCAGGAATGTATTAGAACGCGTAGCAAGGGTTTAAATTTCTTAACAATATATGATATCCACTCGATTAGTAAATATCAGTTAAACGAAGGTTGGCCGTGAATTCGGTTGTATTTATCAAACATGTAATAACTTATCTGCTTTCTGTGTGTATATATAATATCGACTTTGTGTACGCAAAAATACAATTATACGCCCTTTTTATATTTAGGCCAATTCATCATATATACACGATCGATACTGTTAGTTTCTTTTGCGATACAAATTGAATCAATATGAGTATGTATTATACAGAGATCTGCATTTCATGTTGAGATGTATGCATATGAATCCAATTTAAGTATAATCAATATCATTCGGGTATTGGCTTCAACACGCATAAACGTGCTTGCACGTACGAGTATGGGCTTTTAAGCGCTGAAAGAATTAGGATCACGTATCAGTTGGTACGCACACTGAGGCCTGTCCTCATTATTGTATACAATTCGGCGATATTCCCTAGAATATATACCACATCCTTTGGAACCGGTTTGTATACCGGATATTGTAATTGGACTTTATACACGGCTTTATTACCTGTCACTACCATCTCAGTTGGTACTCACGATCATCGACTACAATTCAGCGATATTTCGCCAGAATAAATACCGCATCTTCTGGAATCTTTATTAACGTTTTTACCATCCCAGTTAGTGAGTACACTACGGCTTGTCCCGATCATTGACTGGAATTGTGCGATATTTCGCCAAAATATATTATACCGCATCTTCTGAAAACCTTTTGTATACCAGCGATTGCAAGGGACTATATGTCTGACTTATTCACTGTTACTACCATCGGCTGGTATTGTGTAATCATGGTTTGTGCGTGTTTGTTCATTCCACGAAGCAGAGTGATAGTATAGTTGCGTTTTAACACAGTTTTCTACTACAAAGAGATAAGCGAGAGGTGACATATGCACACTCTATGGGCACCTGATATCAGCTGGCACCTAGTTGGAGCATACGCCCACATTGCTTGGGTGTCAAGTACTGGGCCACCTCATACTGAAGTTACGGCCGAGACTATCATGTTGTGATTCGGGTGATAGACTGAACTATATATATCGCGATGTGAATGAGTATGATGTACTTCCGAGGCTCAATCACCAATGACTTGAATCTTTGTGACATGCGTCGCAGCCTTGTTGTTGGCATTTTTGGCAAAGCGCACATTCATGATGTTTCATACTGTCTTCGTGATTATCGGATAATACGTTCTTGTCAACGATGAACATTAAATAAGGGTTGCGCATGGTTTGGCAATCCTGAATTTGGAAATGCATGCGCTGAGAACCAGATTTTTTTACAGGATCTCGCGCACACGAAGACTCCAAATCCCTTCCGCGAACTAAAACTGTCAAAATGTACCCATTTGCCGCTACCCTCTAAGAAGTTTGGTGTGTCAAAATGAGTGTCCAGAAAATGTTCAATCAACTTGATAGGGTTGCGATGAATGTTACACACTGTACAGGGAAGCCGGCGCCGCATTCCATTTGTTGTTTGCCCATTTTCAACTTTCAATTGTTTGGATATAAAGGCGTAATGAAAAAACCATTGGAGATGGCCGATTTATATAGGCAGTCCCATTCCTATTATAGGTATGTTTGCAAATTTATAGTAGAATATATCCTTGAATCATAATGTAGTTATTGGGAACAATAATTGATATTGTCGAAGAGTTATGCTCGGTACGATACAATCACACGGACATAGTTTTTAAGGTGTTTCCTCTAGTTTTAATCTTAGAGCATAAATTACACGAAATCGGTGCCCAACAATGACAAACGTGTCGTTGATGAGTTAATATTTGTAAAGCTGAATAACACCCGGCATTTTGCCGAACATTGCCAAACTTGTCGTTTATGAGCGAATACTTGTCATAGAGATAACTCGGCATCTGACACGTTTAATACCGCACATTTTCCCGGAGATTGTATTATCAGACATATAAAGTGCCAACGCGTGGCAAGAGTCTGGATCACCTATTAGTTCCACCCAATAATAGTATCAGGTAAACGAAGGTTGGACATAAATTTCAATGTATATATCAAATATGAAACTTATTTGCTTACTGTGTCCAAATATAGCATTGACTACGTGGTACTTAAAAAACGATTGTATGTCCGTTTATTAAGCCAATTCGTCATATATACGCGATCGATACTGTTAGTTTCATTGGCGATACAAATTCGAATCAATAGGAGTACGTAATATACAGAGATCTGCATTTCGTCATGTTGAGATGTGTACATATGAATCCAATTTAGGTATAATCAAGCATGAAGAAATAGCATTCGGGTATTGGCTTCAACACGCGTAAACGTGTTTGCACGTACGAGTATGGGCTTATAAGCGCCGAAAGAATTGGGATTACGTATCAGTTGGTACTCACACTGAGGCCTGTCCCCATTATTGCATACAATTCGGCGATATTTCGCCAGAATATATACCACATCCTTTGGAAACGGTTTCTATATTTATTACAGGACTTTATTTTAAAATAATCCTACCATCACCGGCGAGTACACTATTAGGCCTGTCCCGATCATTGACTGCAATTCGGCGATATACCGCATCTTCTGGAAACTTTTTTATATAATAGCGATTCTATTGGACTATATGCCGGGCTTGATTGACTGTTACTACCATTGGAAACTGTATAATCATAGTCTACATGCGATTGTTCATCCCACCGAGCAGAGTGATAGTATAGTTGTGTATTAATACAGGTTTCTACTACACAGAGGCAAGTGAGAGGTGACATATGCACAGTCTAAGGGCACCTGATTTCAATAGGCATTTAGTTGGAGCATACGCCCACATTGCTTGGGTGTCAAGTACTGGGCCACCTCATACTGAAGTTACGGCCGAGACTATCATAATGTCGCTCGGGTGATATACTGAACTATACATATCGCGATGTGAATGAGTACGATGTACTTTCAAGTGTATATCTATACAGTTATATAGTTATATATCGGTTGGAATCAAATTTGTATAGCTTCTCGGCGACTTAACTTACTGACAGATGCGAGCCCAATGCACCTTTGACAGAGCAGTTGGGAGCGCATAGAGTACCGGCTCAAAGGTAAACGATGCGCACTGCAGCTTCGCATCTGTCTGTGCTAAATTTTGGTGATGTGTGAGAGTTCGTGTGTTAACACGCATCTCCATTCATTGAAACGTGTGCTTGTAGCAGCGATCTTGAAAAATAAAAGTATCCGGTGCAAGATCCTCCTGGAAACGGGATTAGACCTTGCCCTTCATAGGTAAATTTCAAGCGATCCAGTGTGAAGGATTGTGGTGAATATACTTTGCCGCTGTGTTCTAATTGAACTCAATACTTCGCACTACAGAACCAGTGATATTCTATATTATAGAAGACACCCTTTGAGATAAGGTGTGCACGGGTTGACCAAATACTCCCCTACGAGGATTTTCTCGATGGCGCCAACCTATGTTGCATATAGGTTTACTATCCTGGTAAGGGCGGCTAACGCCAGGGGACCCCCCTCGTTCTTTCTGCGCATGAGAAGTGCGGAAGTGACACAATGGAAACGAATATTTGTCATTAGTGCCAAATCTGTAAAAACGGTTGATCAAAGCGTGGATTCATTAATATGAAGTGTGTGGCCATGCTTTCCCGACTGTGAAGACGAATCTAACAGAATGGGCGAGAGATGGTGATATCGTATCACATTTACAAATAAATTGACGAGATTAAACAATACTACATATGTGCATCAATACATTAACAGACTGTCGGTAGCTAAACATACTCAAAATTGCGAGCCTAGGCACATACACGAAGATACACCAAACATATTATGTACCAACGATTATATAGGTGAAACTACCCATTCGAGACTACATAACATACAACTAAGAACGAGGGGGCCTTTGTCACGTGCTGCACTCGCCATCCTCAGCGTCGTCCTCCTTTGGCTCAGATCCCACCACTTCACTGTCCGCGCGATTAGTATGTCCATGTGCATGTGCGCTACAGTCCGTATGACTACACTCGTCACTGACACCGACACTAACACCGACAGCCTTGCGAATGCAGTCCATTATATCACTCACAGCCACCCGATCGATGGGCGATGTAGAGGGGTGACTAAGCAGTAACTTCCCGTCTTGACCTGGTGATATCAAAGGAGGTTTGTGTTATTTTAGCGAAACAGTACGCTTTCCTTCAAACTAGCAGTAAGGTGCCCTATAATTTAGTGAGAAGGCCTGATATATGCACCATTTATCTACGCGGATCAGCACAGACGATGTATGTCCAACGGCAGCACTGCGTGTGTGTGATATGGTCTCGAAACCGTCGTACAAGACATGTGTGTGCGAGAATGCACATAGAAGCGCACGCTGGATACTACTGAATACGCACGTGTCGTCCTGGCAGTTGGTACGGTGGTGGTACACCTTAATTGAGAAGGGACAGGCTGGTCATCTCCCGTATATCATTCATGACACAAGTTTCAGCCACCATTGCCTTTACAACACGCACCAACGAAGCATGCGCTGCTAGTACATATGATACTACATACTGCAATCTTACACACTCACACAGACGGACGGATACGCCGATTCCGTTTATAGTGTACTCGTCCCTTATCTGCATGTGGATAATTGAGAGGCTACCTACCAACGATGAAGTCGCCACCCAGCTGGTGCAAGTCCTCCTTGACCTGAGTCTTTTCGAGTCTCGTTCCGCTGAATATGTTCTTGGCATAGAACAGCAGCGTCGCCGGGGACCAAGACCCGAGAATCGAACTCTGTGTGATACCGGGGGAGATTATTGCGATAATACAGCTCAGTTTGATATACATGGACTCATCTCCACGTGAGAGTTTAATACCAATATGTGTGTTTGTGTCACATATGAAGAATATACGAATTTGTCTCAGACCATATTTGAGTTTGACGTTTTGGTGGAATTGTACTCGAAGACTATATTTGCGTACTTATGATTGCACAGTAATTGTACATGTACTCATAAACAACTTGAGCACACACAAAAACACACAGGTGTTTAGTCATCTGTTAACATGCATGAGCATTGGGCGTATACAAGGTTATTTATATACCATACGTATAGATATAGAACATCAATCATTCGTCTAAGGTGAAACGCACTTTAAATATAGATCCAACTGTGGTTCCAATAGCAAACAATACGACCCAATGCATGTTGATTCTGATCGTATAAGTCAACTCACTCATTCAATGGAAGCCACATACCTGCATGCCATACGTACGGTAGATCTAGATATA